GTGTGTGTCTCAGTGTGTGTCTCAGTGTGTGTGTGTGTCTCAGAGTGTGTGTATCAGTGTGTGTATCAGTGTGTGTCTCAGTGTGTGTCTCAGAGTGTGTGTCTCAGTGTGTGTCTCAGAGTGTGTGTCTCAGTGTGTGTCTCAGTGTGTGTGTGTATCAGTGTGTGTATCAGTGTGTGTCTCAGTGTGTGTCTCAGAGTGTGTGTCTCAGTGTGTGTCTCAGTGTGTGTGTGTGTCTCAGTGTGTGTCTCAGTGTGTGTCTCAGTGTGTGTGTGTGTCTCAGTGTGTGTCTCAGTGTGTGTGTCTCAGTGTGTGTGTGTCTCAGTGTGTGTGTCTCAGTGTGTGTGTGTGTCCTCAGAGTGTGTGTATCAGTGTGTGTATCAGTGTGTGTCTCAGTGTGTGTCTCAGAGTGTGTGTATCAGTGTGTGTCTCAGTGTGTGTCTCAGTGTGTGTGTGTGTCTCAGAGTGTGTGTCTCAGTGTGTGTATCAGTGTGTGTGTATCAGTGTGTGTGTGTCTCAGTGTGTGTATCAGTGTGTGTGTGTCTCAGTGTGTGTGTGTATCAGTGTGTGTATCAGTGTGTGTGTGTCTCAGTGTGTGTCTCAGAGTGTGTGTGTGTATCAGTGTGTGTGTGTCTCAGTGTGTGTCTCAGAGTGTGTGTGTGTCTCAGTGTGTGTCTCAGAGTGTGTGTGTGTATCAGTGTGTGTCTCAGAGTGTGTGTCTCAGTGTGTGTGTGTATCAGTGTGTGTGTATCAGTGTGTGTGTCTCAGTGTGTGTGTGTATCAGTGTGTCTCAGTGTGTGTGTATCAGTGTGTGTCTCAGAGTGTGTGTCTCAGTGTGTGTCTCAGTGTGTGTGTGTCTCAGTGTGTGTGTGTCTCAGTGTGTGTCTCAGTGTGTGTGTATCAGTGTGTGTATCAGTGTGTGTCTCAGTGTGTGTATCAGAGTGTGTGTCTCACTGTGTGTGTGTCTCACTGTGTGTGTGTCTCACTGTGTGTGTGTGTCTCAGTGTGTGTGTGTCTCAGTGTGTGTGTATCAGTGTGTGTATCAGTGTGTGTGTCTCAGTGTGTGTGTGTCTCAGTGTGTGTGTGTATCAGTGTGTGTATCAGTGTGTGTGTGTCTCAGTGTGTGTGTCTCAGTGTGTGTGTGTCTCACTGTGTGTGTGTCTCACTGTGTGTGTGTCTCAGTGTGTGTGTGTCTCAGTGTGTGTGTGTATCAGTGTGTGTATCAGTGTGTGTGTCTCAGTGTGTGTGTGTCTCAGTGTGTGTGTGTATCAGTGTGTGTATCAGTGTGTGTGTCTCAGTGTGTGTGTGTCTCAGTGTGTGGTGTCTCAGTGTGTGTCTCAGAGTGTGTGTGTATCAGTGTGTGTGTTTCCACCTCACTGAGCCGTTGACCCATTTCCTGCCTGATGTCCCTGAGGGTCAGCCTGTCAGTGGGCGGAGCCTCCAGAGGTCACATGACTCGGATCAGGACTTTGATTAGACCAGATGTGACGATCTGTGGAATTGAATTAGAATCATGTTTTATTAATTATTATTTTCGTTTCTCTAATAACTTTTCCTTTTTTTTATGGAATTAATGAATTTTTTTTTATTTAATTTGAATTTATTGTTGAACAAAATTTATATTAAATCAACTGAACATTTTTTAATTGCTTCTTGTTTCACTTTTTATGTTTTTTTCTGATCTGCAGCTTTAAGACTAAAGACCAAAGAGCTTTTAATGATAACGGGTCCAAAGGGCGGTTCGGGGGCCGCTTGTGGCCCTCAGAACAACTTTGAGCGGCCCTCAGTCACAAGTCAAACAAAATGTTCAAGATAAGATGGAAGATAAATGTCATGTAATTTATTAGTCATTAATTTGTTCAGTTTTGGTTTATTGACAAATAAATGAGAAAATAAATAACTTTAATTAAAACGAAAAATACTGGAAAACTGGAATAGTTTTCAACTTGAATGATACAGACCAGTAGAACCAGTAGAACCAGTAGAACCACTAGAACCAGTAGAACCAGTAGAACCACTAGAACCAATAGAACCAGTAGAACCACTAGAACCAGTAGAACCATTAGAACCACTAGAACCAGTAGAACCAGTACAACCTTAGAACCAGTACACCATTAGAACCATTAAAACCAGTAGAACCATTAGAACCATTAGAACCATTAGAACCAGTAGAACCAGTAGAACCATTAGAACCAGTAGAACCAGTAGAACCACTAGAACCAGTAGAACCAGTAGAACCACTAGAACCACTAGAACCATTAGAACCAGTACAACCATTAGAACCATTAGAACCAGTAGAACCATTAGAACCATTAGAACCATTAGAACCAGTAGAACCAGTAGAACCAGTAGAACCAATAGAACCAGTAGAACCATTAGAACCAGTAGAACCATTAGAACACTAGAACCAGTAGAACCAGTACAACCATTAGAACCAGTACAACCATTAGAACCATTAAAACAGTAGAACCACTAGAACCATTAGAACCATTAGAACCAGTAGAACCAGTAGAACCATTAGAACCAGTAGAACCAGTAGAACCACTAGAACCAGTAGAACCAGTAGAACCACTAGAACCTAGAACCATTAGAACCAGTAGAACCATTTAGAACCATTATACCACTAGAACCAGCAGAACCAGTAGAACCAGTAGAACCATTAGAACCATTAGAACCAGTAGAACCTGTAGAAACCAGTAGAACCAGTAGAACCATTAGAACCATTAGAACCATTAGAACCAGTAGAACCATTAGAACCATTAGAACCATTAGAACCAGTAGAACCAGTAGAACCAGTAGAACCATTAGAACCATTAGAACCAGTAGAACCAGTAGAACCAGTAGAACCAGTAGAACCACTAGAACCAGTAGAACCAGTAGAACCACTAGAACCACTAGAACCATTAGAACCAGTAGAACCATTAGAACCATTAGAACACTAGAACCAGAAACCAGTAGAACCAGTAGAACCATTAGAACCAGTAGAACCAGTAGAACCATTAGAACCAGTAGAACCATTAGAACCATTAGAACCATTAGAACCAGTAGAACCATTAGAACCATTAGAACCAGTAGAACCAGTAGAACCTGTAGAACCATTAGAACCATTAGAACCAGTAGAACCAGTAGAACCATTAGAACCAGTAGAACCAGTAGAACCTGTAGAAACCATTAGAACCATTAGAACCAGTAGAACCATTAGAACCATTAGAACCAGTAGAACCAGTAGAACCAGTAGAACCAGTAGAACCATTAGAACCAGTAGAACCAATAGAACCAGTAGAACCATTAGAACCATTAGAACCATTAGAACCATTAGAACCAGTAGAACCAGTAGAACCATTAGAACCAGTAGAACCATTAGAACCAGTAGAACCATTAGAACCAGTAGAACCATTAGAACCACTAGAACCATTATACCACTAGAACCAGCAGAACCAGTAGAACCTGTAGAACCATTAGAACCATTAGAACCAGTAGAACCATTAGAACCATTAGAACCAGTAGAACCATTAGAACCATTAGAACCAGTAGAACCATTAGAACCATTAGAACCATAGAACCAGTAGAACCTGTAGAACCAGTAGAACCATTAGAACCTGTAGAACCATTAGAACCAGTAGAACCATTAGAACCATTAGAACCATTAGAACCATTAGAACCAGTATAGAACCATTAGAACCATTAGAACCAGTAGAACCAGTAGAACCTGTAGAACCAGTAGAACCATTAGAACCTGTAGAACCAGTAGAACCAGTAGAAACCACTAGAACCAGTAGAACATTAGAACCAGTAGAACCAGTAGAACCATTAGAACCGTTAGAACCATTAGAACCACTAGAACCAGTAGAACCATTAGAACCAGTAGAAACCAGTAGAACCAGTGCACCCAGTACCTCTGAGGTTCTGTCTGTCTCCCACGTCTCGGTCCAGCTGGGCTCATGGAGCGGAACAAACGGCGCCTCCTTAATCCGATTATCCACGGTGTGAACACCGCTTCCTGAGACCGAGCAAAGATGGCCGCCAGCATCAAGACGGCGCCACGCTGCGTTGGCTCCATTGGTGTCCCAGTGGGCCCGGCGGCTCCAGATGATGACCCGGGTTCCTGTTCGGTTCTGTGGATAATTCCCCTTTTTGCTCAAACGGAGCCGAGACGCTGCGACGCCGACATCACTGAACGCCGCTGTAGCCGCGTGGAAACGTCTACTTCCTGTAATGCCGCTCACCGTTCTGCTATCCTGAAACCGGACCGGACCGTGGCCTAAACAAAACCTTTGTCACATTTTGTCAGTAAACCTGAGACCATCGGATTTAAGTTCTGACCCGTTTTAGGAGCGCCGTCACTTTGAATGCAACATTTACAAAGAATCAGGCCAAACTCCTTTGAAAGCAAAGTGGAGCCTCCTGTACAGCAGCCATAAAGCAGCAAGAGGTTTCTGCATGGTGGGGTTGTTAGGTAATGGGCCGGTCTTATCAATATGTTCTGGTGCTACCGGCCCTTTAAGACCCATGATGTGGATCAGGCTGAAGAGTTTGGAGGATTTGGGTCCAGAAGGTTTTGACTAGACCAGGATCGGGTTTGATCTTCTGGCTGCTCATCTGCATTTTAGATTTCCTTCTGTAACAGATTTATTGAGCCAAATTTACCCAATTTGATCAATATCTCCAGATTAAATACAGTTTTTTATATTTTATACATTTTCTTTTAGATTTTTCTTATGGAGTATTTATTATGTTGCATTAGGTGTTACATTTTACAAGACTTAATTGAGAAAAGAAACATTTTTAGATTTTCTTTTGAAATATTCAGTTCCTCCATTCATCTAGGTTTAATATTTTATTTGCTGTATATTTTATTTGCTGTGTGTCTTATTGTAGCCCAGCAGCAGTTTGTTCATTTCTTCATCATAATCAGTTTAAATCAGTTCATTTCCCTGCAGGAGAATTAATTCATCTGAATTTAATGCTGAGAGGAAAAGTTTTACAGTACCTGCTGGCGACAGCAGCGTTCAGTCATCCGGCCTGATGGTGGCGCCGTCAGCTCCAGATGTTGATGCCCAGCAGTTTGAGGCCCAGATTTGTCGGATCAATCCGTCGCCGGCGCCGAGACGCAGCGGCGGCAGTAATTACCCGGCGATTAGCCGACGATGTGGAATCGCTGTGAATCTGACTTATTAACGAAACATTAATTGCTGTGTTTCATAACAGCCAGCTGGCTAATTGTCCTGTAATTGGTTCAGACTCTGGCGGCGTCTGTGTTCCGCCGCCGCCGCCTGAAGGCTCGTTGTGGTGAAAACACGCTCCGCTGCTTTCAGCCGGGAAATCGCTGAGCATCAGGCTGGAAGCTGGGAGATTCTGACAGGAAAACAAGAACGACCTCAAAAAACGACCAGCACCGCTCTGCTAACTGAGCTAACTGAGCTAGCGGCTGGGAAGCACGGTGGTGGCAGAGTCATGACTTTGTCTGTTTGAACTACACATTACCAACTGTTTGTGGTAAACTTTCTAAATTAAAACCGTCAACACATCTAAAAACATTAAATAATATAAAGAAGAAAACGAGGAAAGTCTGACATCACACATCTCATTTTGGCACCAATACTCTTCCGTAGAAAACAGAAAATAAAATGCTGTCATTTAATGAGTTTTTTATGGTTCATAACTGAGAAGTAAATAAAAATCATCCCATAAAATTACAGATGATAAAATGGTTCAGATAATAATAATAATAAAAGAACAATTATCTAACGGTGTTTATCTCTGGTCATCACTCCACCACCACCGTGTTTTCCTCCAGCTCCGACACACACACACACACACACAGACACAGACACACACACAGAGAGAGACACACACACACACCACACACACACACCACACAGAGACACACACAGAGAGACACACACACACACCATACACACACACAGAGACACACACACACAGAGACACACACCATACACACCACACACACACCCACACACACACACAGAGACACACACCACACACACACAGAGACACACACCACACACAACACACACAGAGACACACACACACACAGACACACACACAGAGACATACACACACACACACACACTCATGCACTCCTGACCTGATGAGGATGATTCTGCCTCTTCATCCACCTTGACCTCTGACCTTGACGTGTGCGGCTTCACATCACACATCAAATCCAGATGACACCTGGCCACGCCCCGTCACAGCGCCCCAGATGCCTTAGCGCTGACCTTTGACCCCTGCCGCCGCGCTCATCAGCTGATGAGCCGTTGAGCAGAGAAGCTGCGGCGATGTTCCGCCATGTTGGCTCCATTAGCGGGTCGCGGAGCCGCAGCAGAACGTCTGACGGCGGAAGCCCGTAGGAGTCTGGATCAGAACCAGAATGAAACGTCATGCATCCTCCACTCCTACTGGAAACATGTTGACTCAACATGATTCACCTTAAATTAACTGACAGAGAATCGAAACATGGCGCCTTTAATGAGCCCAGAGTGATGATGTCACTGATCAATTATCATCAGAAGAAATCCAAGAGAATAGAAGCTGGAAAATACATAAAGAACGACATGAGAAAAACATTAATCCAACTCCCTTTGCTCCAAAAGCTGGAAGTGGACTACAGCGCAGAGCATTCTGGGTAAATACAACCGACGCTAATAGGCTAGCCTAGTGCTAGCAGGACAAATGGTTAGTTTACAACGACCGACCACCGACCAACCTACTGACAACCGCTGCTCCATAAAAAATAACCTTTACTAAATACAACTAAAGAAAGTAATTCATCTGTTTGCTATTACATTCATATTTTTAGATTGTCAGGGACAAAATGGAGGTTCAGTTTAGTTATTTATTAAAGCTACAGTTCAAACTATTTAACAAACTAAATACTAACTAAAAATATTACACATGACATACATAGTTTAAAACTTAAATTTAGTTTGAAACTGGATATTTAGGCAAGATAAATATGATCACTTCAGGTCAACAATTCAGATTTAGTAGTCGGATCGAACCCAACTTTTATTTTGATAGTCCATTTCCTCTTATTTCATTAATTAACTAACATTTCATTTATAAATTCAATTTTATTTAGTTCAGAAGTAAATATCTGGTTTGGAGACAAATTATTAGTTTGCTGCTAAATATTAATGAAGGACATTTGTTACTTGATATTAGGTTTGGAGATAAAAATAAACAGTTTGCTAGCTAAAGTTTCAGCTTCAAATGAAAAGCTTAGCATGCTAACTGCATATTTAAGTTGGAGCTAGATGTTTCTTTTCAGGATATGGTGACATTTATAATTGAATAATGTGATAAAAAGTAGAGTAGCTGTGGCTGTGAAGATGAATGAGAATGTCCTGGAATCCCCTTGAATCTCCTGGAATCCCCTTGAATCTCCTGGAATCTCCTGGAATCTGCAGTGAAGACGGTGAAGTCCCGTCAGCCTGGTCTGCTCGGCGTGGTGTGAGAGCGAGGCGGCGGACAGCCCCCTCCAGGTGCTAACGACGTTACGGCGGCGCAGCGTTTCCTGTGAGAACGCGTCGAGCAGACAAGGCCGCCATTCATGCCGCTGGTGTCGGATGGAAGCGCGTCGGGTCAGACGGGCCTCATGCTGTCAGCGGGTCACTCAGAGGAAAGCCAAATTCAGCCGCCTTCTCGTCTCATCCAGACTGAAGCTGCAATGATTCAATTCTGGAGACTGTGAGGTAAAAACGGCCTGATCTAATTAGCGCCTCATCTTCCTCATCTTCCTCATCTGTGAACGCAGCAGAAACCGTCTGTTCTCACTGCTGCTGCAGGCCGAGGTCAGAGGTCACGCCTGAAGGGGGTAAACAGCAGATCCGGTTCTTTGACGAGACGAATGGTCCCAAAGACCAGGAAACGTTGACAGTGACGTCCAAACACCTGAAGCCTCAGAAATGTCTCATCAGTCACAACATGAACCAGTTGAGGCTGGAAATGTTCTCCGATGATGTCATGCGTCGCCGTGGGAACGTGGCCTCACTGCTGAAGCGTTTCCGGGTTTTTCTGCTTCACAAACGAACTCTGACCCGGTCGCTGCTCGGTTCCGACCGGCGCCTCGGTTCTGCTAACGAGGCGTCGAGCTGCTGCTGGGCCGACGTCAGGACGCCGGGCCGAACAGGAAGTCCTGCTCCGCCGCCGGCCGGACTCTTTCCATCACTGAAACAACCAGAACATGAAAAAACTTAACGATGCATAATTTGTTTCATTTGGCTGAAACCGCCTCAGTGCTGCCCCCTGCAGGCTGAACCTGAACAGGTCAGGAATCGCTTCCTTCTGTTTGCAGATGATAACCTGCTGTTCCCATAAAAATGTCCACTGTACAATGATTTTCAGAGGCCTTTTGATTTAAAATACACAGAATTTAAAACATTTATGTAAAAAAAAACTGCTGGTTGATCAGAAAGTCCCAGATCCATCCAGTGGTTCCAGTCGGTTCAGATAATCTGGATTATTCTCTCTGATTCAGGCCATAACTCAGATCACTGAAAAACACCAAATCTCATTTTGGGTTAGGGTTAGGATTAACTAAACAAACAAATCAGTTGTTTAGTTCAGAAGAAAATATATTAATTCACCTGAAATGAAACAAAACTATCATACAGATCAGCGAATAGGAGCTTCTTTACAGCGATAATTTATCAATAATGATGAGAACCTCATAACTTCATCATCAGATTGATTTAAACAAGTTTCTGGATGTTGATGAAATCTGAGTTTTATTCTACTTCATGTTTACACAAACAGAAAAACTCAGCAGGATTCAATGGTTTTAGTTAAGCTAACAGACGAAGCGCTAGTTAGCGCGGTTAGCTCATGCAGACCCGATCGGCCCAGTTCTGGTTCTGAGAAGCTTTGGGAGTAAGATTTAATTAAGTTAAATGCTGAAGCTGAAGAATTTGACTTAAAAACCATAAAACCAAAATCAGAAACAGTTTCAGTCCAAAACAGGTTTTTTTTCTTGCCAAAGTTTTTGCAGAAAATTATTGTCAGTTTTAAAGTTTTTAATATCTTATTAAAGACGCGAGACGGAAGCCAGGTGTTATGCAACGTTAGCGTTAGCTGCTACATGTTAGGTCCTATTTTAGGCTAGCATAGCCTCTCTGACATGCTAACGGCTTTTAGCTCAACTTGAATCATCAGATTGTTTCCGTTGTCAAATCAGAAACGAAGGTAGCTGTGCATCAGACTGACGGTCCGACTAGAAACGTGTCAACACAAAGGTTCCACCCTAAAAACTGATTATATTCTAATGAAATCCAAATTAACTTGTTACATTTTAAATCTGCTGCTTTTTTCTTGAAACTAAACTCAGAAACATAAAAGTGATAAATGTTCAACTCCAGATTAAAATCTGGATTTCCTCAGCAGCTGAACCAGAATCATCCCCATCATGGCTGATCTCCAGGTAAGCAGCTCCTGTCGGAGCCTTCATCATCAGCACCATCATCAGCCCATAATGGATGGCGGCGCCGCTCGCCCCGCATGCAGGAAAGGTTTAATTAAATCACAGTCCAATCATAATCCATGTTGTTAATTAAACTGGATAATTTATAAGTACAAAAGAGGGTATTTATTAGCTGCTGGTGGCAGCGCGGCGGCGTGCGCGGCGCCTGGTGCACGGCGGCCCGCACAGCCGCTGCCTCCAACCTTTTACTATTGATGCCTGGCCATGATTGATAATGAGACGGAGGAGCCGCACTATTTGTCTAATGGCGGTGCAATTAAAGGCCTTGTAAATGACCCGCGCCTCGTTTCATCCTAATCTATGGAATTTTGATTGAATTTGTCGGCGCTAATTGAAAAATACTGCTATTTAATGTCTGCACTGATCAGGCTCCGTAATGACCCCGGGGGGGCGGGCCGCTCAGGCGTGTCCTTGACTCGCTGCTCGGGGTCAGAGGTCACGTGTCCCCTCTGATGCGTTTTGACGCCGCTGGCATTGATGAGCTGCAGCTGAATTGATGAGGCGGTCGTTCCTCCGTCCGTCAGCACGCAGGAGCAAACACTGGGAGGTACAGCGCCGCGGAAACGGGGCGCCGCGGCCGCGGGCGCCACGGAAACGGGGCGCCGCGGTGTGAGACGGAAGGACGGATAATCGGCAGAGTTCGCGGCCGGTCCGACCCGATTCCATCTGCAAACACAAAGCTGGAGACGACGAGGCGTCTTGCACTTTAGCTTCTTCTCATTAATGGTAGAAATGAGCTACAATAAGTAAAGTATCAATATTCCAGGATTGATTATATTGATCAGGTATTAGAGGAAGTCCTATTTCAGAATCAATCTCCAGAGAGATAAATACAAACGTCTGGGTTCTTATTTAAATATCATTTGATCAAAGATGTTTTGATCCATTTGCTGCTAAATTACATCAAAGGTTTTCAAAGTGTTGAAGTGATGCAGCCTCCACCTGCAGGGGGCAGCGTGTCTTCAGATGCCTCAGTCTGGCTGATTCAGTTCATAGCTAATAAAAAGTCACATTAAACGCAAACATTGCAAAATTTACTGCAAATGTTTCTAAATGATTTCCACTAAATCAGATTTTATCAGAAAGAAAAGCAGTGAAAGTAAAAGGGATCAAATGAAGGTTGTTTTTATTCCAGTCAGTCTCAGCAGTGTCTGCTGCTGCATTTCAACGCAGAGATATTTACCAGCATTAGTTTGTTCATGGATTGTGGAACATGTTTATGCGTCCAAATAAAAATCAGATTTTCTGTTTCACAGCTTTAAAAATCAAACTCATAGAAAACTTTCCCAAACGTCTCACCTGCTTTCTCATGAGGAGGTTTTCAAATACGGAATCCCAAAACGTCACTCAATCAATTCAAAGTCATGAAAGTGGAAACAGATTTCAGTTGGATTCATGGTGGATCTGAAACAGATTCCGATCCGGATCGTCCTGCTGCAGCAACAAATCATCTGTTTCTAACGCTCAACTTTAGAATCAACCTCAACGGAGAGCGACCCGACCACGCCCGCTCATCTGCTGGTTGGTTTCTAACGGGTCCAGAGAAATGTTTATCAGTGAAATAAACTTTGATTTGATTGATTATTGATCACATGGACAGCATGATGATCAGGTCAGAGAAATAAAACTACAGTTTTTGTGTCGGTTTAAAGTCTCTAAAGTCTCAGACAACATGAAAGAAATGTGGAGGAAAAAAACTGAATTTCTCTAGTTTTGGCCTAATCTCCCTCCATACTCCAGTTCCTCCATCGGAACCAGAACTGGAAACATTTTCCGATGAAGTGAAAGTGTCTCTTTCAGCCCCACGCTGAGTGGATCCGGATCGTGCACGAGCTCCGGCTCGTCACCCGACATCCGCCAATCAGAGGCGCAGGGAGGCGGCGTCCTGGCGCTAAAGGCAGCGCAATTAACCAGAGGGGAGCGCAATTTAAATCCTAAACAGTTGCGGAGGCGCAGCGGCAGGAAACACACAGGATTCACTCCGGCTGCCGAAGCGGGTCAGAGAGGAGCGCAGTCCAGAACTCGGTCCAGAACCTCGGGTCATCTCGTCCTCCC